GTCCGATAAAATTTCATTGCCCATTAAATAATCCCAGAACGCCTCGCTCTTGCGCGACGGGCAGCCGGGCCCCGACACCGACATCACCAGCGGGGACGGCATGCCTAGCGGGATGAGGAAATCCGGCCCCGGGTGCGGCTCGGGCAGCGAGGGTGCTGGCCGGGAGGAGTCCTTGATGATGAGCGAGTCGACATAGAAGGAGCGCGACATGGCTCCAGGGGGCCCTGGGGGTGGCGGGAGAGCTGGGCCAGCGGCGGAGCCCCCTCCACTCTCCGGTGCAGAGCTCTACCCCCGGCGCGGCGCGGGCTCTGGCGGTCAGACCAGCCCAGGGGGACGCGGAGGTGGCGGCGGCGTCTAGGACACGAACAAAGGGGTCCCCGAGAGGGCTGGTCCTCAGGTCCCCCGCCCGGCGCCCCGGCTCGGGGATTTTATAGCCCCCACCCCGGCACGTGATGCTGCGGAGTACCGCTCGGCTCCGGTTCCCCTGCAGCTCCCCACCCTCGGGATAGGCTGCCCGAGTCACAACAGAAGCTGCGGGGAGGGGCGGGCGCGCGGCAGGGCAGAACTCGGGGGTGGGGGGCGGCTGGGGACAACGGGGACAGGGGTGGTGGAAGGGGGCAGTGGGGAAGACTTTGCAAAGTGTAGGTTTTGTTAATTTCGCCGGGAGGCCGTCCTCGCCAGCGACCCCACCGCCACCCCCACCTTTCTGCACGCTTTCCCGAGAAATCTCAGCGGGGTATCTACCATGTCACCCCACTCCCTCGTCAGGGCCCCAGCCCAGTTCTTGCCGAAGCCCGGCCGCAAAGCGCACCAGGTGGGGACTTCGAAGCCTCTATGGTAGCGACGCCCAGCGCTCTGGCTCACCCGGGCCGGCGGTGGCTGAGGCTCGGGCTGCCACCCGGAGCGGGCTTGTGGGAACCGCGGACCAGCAGCGGTTTATTAGTCCTGGAGCCGGACGTAGGCCGGGGTCACCCTGGACTCCAGAGGCCGCTTTGGGACTTGGCCAAGGTCATTCAAGTGGTTGTCTGTGACAGATTAGGCGCTGCCACCGTGAGATCTCCCAGATTAGTAGTCCCCAGGCTTCCATTCTGAAGCTGGAGGAAGTCTAGATGTCTTTGCACTAAGGTCCCTCTGGGGGCCACTGAGACCAATGGCCTTTCCCTGCACCCGGTTTCAAACGGGAGAGAGAGTCGTTATGAGATTTACTTTTTTCTGTGGATATATCCCTCTACCACCTTGTTCCAGGTGAACTGTACGAACACCTACCTGAGGATTTTAGGGAGAAGAACCCAGCCATGGACCTCCTGGGCACAAGGGTAGGGTGGGAGCAGGGCTTTGCTCTGTGCCTGGCTAACTGCTGCCAGCAAGCATTATCCGGATCTTGGCTTGCTGATGAGGTGAACTGGGCAGCACCTTCCACTCATGCACTCCCAAAGCTCAAAAAGAATGAAGGAAACAGGGCCTTTCTAGAATCCTGGCCCAGGATGGAAAAAGGGGTTTAGGAAAGGAAATCTTTGAAGAGAGGAGTCTATGGAGAGTCCTGGATTTAATCAGAAACAGTGAGGACCCATTCTGAGGGAGGATGGGGAGGGGGTGGCTGGCAAAGTTGGGGCTATTGGTTATCCTGGCAAGCAAGGAGACAGAGGAGGTGGATTTCTGTACGTACTGCTCTTTTCATGGAGCAAAGTGAGCTGGACTCAGGCAACTGAGTAACAGCTAATGCCTGGCCCTTTGTTCAGAACAACTAACTTTAGACCTGTCACTACAATGGTGTCAGGAAACATAGGAGTAGGGCTCTCTCCACCTGATAGGATCCAGTACCCAAAGGCAAGAGAGCACCAATGTCTTGGGCTGGAGGGATGGCTGCTTGGTTCTGTCCTCTTTCTGCCTTTCTTCCCCTCCTCTTTCTGTGACCACCTCTTGCCTGCTAGAGAAGTGTAATTGGGTTGTAGGGACGCCCCGCTCTGGGGAGCCCAGGATTTATGGATGGCAATTAAAGTTTTATGAATTGCAGCTGAGGCTGGTTATTGAGCTATTTGAATGTGATTAGAATTCAATTAGAAAGCGGTTAGTGGACAGTGGGTCTCCAGAGTGTAAACAGACAGCTATTCCAGAAATGTGCTAATCCAACATCTTGTGATCACAATTAAGGAATCTCAGGGCTTAACTTGGGGCAGCTCAGCTGTAACTACAGCCATCCCAGACCTCTCGGCTTCCTTCCAGCCCCTTTGGACCCAGCCTGCTCTGACCCCCCTCTCCAATCCAGGCAGTTCCTGAATCATACCAGGTCCCAGAAAAAGCCTCAGGGTGCAACAATCCAGAGATGCTTCATGGCAGTGAGTTTTCAGGGCCAACCTGGTCCAAACAGGCCATAGAATGTCTCCATTGATTTTAATTATTATTTATTTACTTTTTCAGGGCAATAATTGTTCTCTTTTCCTCTGGATTACGTAGGAGGGTCTTCTACTTTGGGGAGGGCCTACAATGTTTCAGTGGTCTCAGCACAGGGCTTCTGTGCTGATGCACTGGCTACCTGCATCCTCCAGGACCTCCAGGGGAGCCTTATGCTTTATTTCAGAGGACTCTAATTAGGCGAGATGCTTCAACATCTAATGAAATATATGCCTGATAGTGGAGGCATTCCAAGTGCTGAGGAATTTACAGATGGCAGAAGCCTTCCATTGGGTACTCAAATGTCCTTCTAGCCTTAAGGCTGCCAGAGGAGAGATGGCTTAGGACCAGGCTGTGGAGGAAAGTAGGACAGTGTCTGAGAAGCTTAGCCATTAGACAAGAAAAAAAAAAGCCAAAGAACTCTGTCATTGACATTCAGTGAATTCAAACGCATAGTGACTCATAGGACAGAGGAGAATTGGCCCATAGAGTTTTCAAGGATGGAATATTTTTATGGAAGCCAACTGCCACCACTTTCTTCTCTGGAGCAGCTGGTGGGTTTTAATTGCCCACCTTTGGATTATCTTATCGGCAGAATTTAATCACTGAGCTACCCACCAGTGTGTACTTAGGGTCCTTAGTAAATTCCTTGTCTCCCCAAGAACAAGTGTGGACTCTCCCACCTCTGTCTCTTTTACAGTTTTCTTTGGATCTCTCCCAGTTTCCTCCTTCCTCAAACACCCACCTTCAGAAGCCAGTCCACCAACTGAGGTCCCCATGGCAGGCACAGGAGCAACTTTGCTGCTGGTAGGTCTCAGGCCAAGCGCCACCCTGCTCCAAGCAGGGAGACCCCAGGCCAGCCTCCTTCTCTAGACAGTCTCAGTGTGTGCCTATCGCCCCTGAGCCACTGCACAATTTTATTTCTCAGTGATTCTGTCCGATAAAATTTCATTGCCCATTAAATAATCCCCGAATTGAGAACTCTTATGAGCCTATAATGAGCTCTAATTGCTCCAACTCGGGGAGCCACGTGGAAGGATTTATTCGGTATTAAGCTGTTGGGTACAGAGTACAGGCTGTTACCTAAGCCACCACTTTCATAACTCAGGGAGAAATGTAGTTCTGCTAAGGAGCGGGCGTCTTTTGATTCTCTCCTTATTCTGGGTGACAGAGGATAGTTTTGTCTGCTTGAGTACAGGACATAAATGCAAAGGTACCAAAACTGCTCCCACATGCCAAGACACCCCACCAACAACTGGGGGTGAGTGGGGAAGGAATCAAAGAAATCTGAAAATCAACAGCAAAGGCATCCTCTTCAGCCTCCAGACTCCTCAATTTGAGCCTCTGCAGCTCACCCCAGAAAAAATGAATTTATGGCTCTCGCTTTCAAAAGGGAGAATTTCCTCTCTCGTTGATTGCATCTGAGCTGAACCCCAATCCTTTCTCTCACCAGTCTTTCCTCCTTGTTTCTTTTCACCCACAAAATCAGTGGAAAGTAAAAGGGCTGGGACTCAGCCTTGCTTACTCAATAACAACGTCCCAGCGTCCTGCCCTGTCGATGTGCATTGCCATTATTTTTCGGCCGGTAGTTCCCACTTTCTGCGCCGGTCCCACCCCACCCCCCGTCGCGCCCCCTCTAGCTCTCCAAAGGGTTTCCCCTCCAGCCCGGAGCTTCTTTACTTTTCATCTCTGCGTTGGCCTCGCAGGTCTCCGGCTGGCTCCGAGAGTGAGCAGAGGAGGCTGCGAGCAGAGGGAGGGGACGGGCCATGGAGTTGGCGGGGCCGCCTCAGATTTATTTGCTCCTCTTACATTGATTTCATATTAGTTTCCAAAGCGATGAATGATCTCAAAGCTGGGTTTTGTTAGCCGAACACAAACAGGAGACAGGACTTACTTGCCCCCAGCTCCCTTTAATGAGGTCATTATCAAAGCGTGAACAAGTCTATGAATGTTTTATTGAAAGCGCATCGTTAACTTGTATCGCTCCTTTTCTCCGAGTGGCATTGTGATATTGCTGTCTGTGGCACATCTTACCCGATATAGCCCGAGATTTCCCCATTCTCTGTAACCAGGCAACCCTTTCTGAATACCCCAAAATTGAAAAGAACCGCTTAGTCTTCAAGAAAGTCCTCAATAATAGTGGAAAAGAACAAAGATCCAGGAGACAACAAAATGCCACAGGGGTGACTTTTCATGAGCAATTATCTTTCATTAATCAGTTGAACAGCTGCAATATTAATTTTCTCTCTTTCTTCCTCTCTTTTCACAGTCCCCAACATTTGAATAATCATAAATTTTGATTTTATGAAGGAGTCACATTTTCAGGGACTGGAGGAAAGCAACTACCTAGGTGAAGAAGCTCTTCGCAGTTTGTGTTCATTTTATTTCGCGTGGCTAACACTGCCTACAAAGCAAAAAGCAAGATTTTAAAAAGTATTATTATTGAAAATATGGGGAGAAATGCCAGAGAAAAGCTCTCCCCCTCCCTTCTTTGAGATGGTGGCTGGGAAGGAACCCAAACGTTACTTCTCTTGATCTCTTTCCTCCCAACTCCTCCTCTCTCCACTCCTCCCTCTCCCCCTACAGTTCCCCAGTTTGGTCCGGAGCGGGGCGGAGGGAAATGTCTCCGGCGTCTGGCGTGGGAGTTTCAGCCGGGTTTCTGCCCGTTTAACTTGCAAACGTGAAGCCAAGCGTTGTGGATCTGACCAAAGAGACACTCTTTGGGCGTAACTTGCATTGTGGCCATCAAAAGCCTCGCCGGCCTTAGATGAACTGGGACGTGCATTCAGCAGAAACCCGGCGCTCGCTCTCCTTTCAGG